ACACTGAAAACTAGCTATATCTACTTTTACCTCTAAGGTTCTGAGCACTTGTCACAGAACTTGGTTAGATGAAATGGGAACATTTTGTATAAAGTCACCAGTATGACAGACACTCCAGGCACAAACTGCCATTACACTTAAGGTGGACATTTTTCATGTATTCATACCTTCAGAGTTCAGATCACACTTGTAGGATATCCCAATTAAAACTACCAATTGGAGAAAAGAAAGTCCAATAAGGGATAAAAATGAACTCTAAGCTACTTTGAAAATATGACACAAGCATAAAAGAAAAACTAAAAAATACCATGTAGGCTGAAAAAAATTAGTCTTTTTTACTACTCTTTACTTGGATTGTGATAAAAATTCAGTTCTCTGTGGAATCCTGTAAGCAAAAAATCCAGCGAGCAGAGAACAGAACGGGAATCTTGCTTGACAATAAGTAGGCCCAACGCATTTTTTTGATACGAAGACCACAGCTAAGAAGTGTATCTCTGCAGCTTTTCCACACAATAAACAAATAATTCTAGACTAGATTGTTAAATGACTTCAAATATAGGCTAATAAGCAACACACACACACAACTGACACAATTTAAAAATTAATTTAGGAGACACACTATACACAAAATTGTTCCCCTCAGAAAACATTTTTGTAATAGAAGAGAAGAAATGTTTAAGGGCAAAAATAAAAGGTGTTAGGTATGCCCCAGATACTTCTGGGAAACAAATAAAGGTTATTGTGAAACTTAATACGATCAACAAATCAATTGGCCATTTGTTGACCATGGTGCTACTTATGGTAATTAGAATCAAATTGCTGTAATTTAAAGGGAAATTTAAAAGTACATTTTTCCAACTCTGAATTTAATGTAGCAATATACTAAGCACGTGGTATGAAAAGTTGATATTCAATAAGTATGGAGGGTAACGCATACCTTAAATTCCTCCAAGATTTTGTAATTTTTCCCGTGATATTCACAGAAGTTTTTTACTTCTTTGCACTCAGGACAGCATCCATTGTGTTCCACTTTAGTACACTTTGGGTGAATTTTAGGGCATTCTGGTTGGTCGCAAACAGGTCCATCTAGAGCACAGACACATGGACAGTTGGAATGCCCGGGGAAAAATCGTTCTCCCAACTTGTATACAAAGCCGCTGTCATCGACACACCCTTTCCCTCGATAGTCATCAAAGATCAGATTGTCATTACTGGAGATCTGGTCACCTTCATCAGCAGGATAGTCTTCATGACTGATAGCAGCAGAGGTGACCAATCCAGGGATGACCAACAGAAGTATGCAAGCTTCATGAATATGAAGAGCCATCCCCCTCTTCAAAGACTTCTGGATGTACTCCTAATATTAAATACACTCAGCTCCTTCCATGGGAATACAAGAGGGGTAGGCTGAAAATAAATATTTAAAAAGAATAATTTGACATATACAAAATGAAGATAGAATCATTTAAGCCCATGCTCTTAAACTGTTTGGGATCAATTTAAAGATACTAAGGCCTCAAATAGACTAAGTTGATGCAACTATCTATGCCATATTGTGAGGTTTGGAGAGTTGATACTTTGCATTAAAATTTGTCCTTTTGGATTATTTTATATACGAACCTTCAGCTTGAATATTCCTTCTGAATTTCAAAGGTCTGGCTTTGTCTAAATTGCAAAGAAATGGTTTTACTGAGCCCCAAAAGGTGAGTACAAGGAATCACTTATAAATAGCTCAAGAATATTTGAACTCACATTTTCTATTATTCTTTAAACTGGACTAGTCAGTGATGGAACATATGTTATAATTATCTGTGTCAACTCAAGAGATTAGTGCGAAAAAATCTAATTCTAAAGGAAAGAGAATAAACCAACAGTTGAATATAAATTATATTTAGGATGGAGCTGCTATAAGGGATTTCCTACTTATTTATGCCTATAATTACAGAACAACAGTGGTATCCACATCAGTTACCTGTTTCAGTGAACATGAATCTGGATTTTTGAAATATAGTTGATAACAACAAAACTATCCCATGGTGGTTAAGAAAATTTGAAATAATAAATAATACAAGAGAATTCCATGTGCTTAAAATAATTTGTTAAAAACAAATTTATTTGTATTATTGTCCACATTATTTTACACAGGAAGTAAGCTCCTAGTGGGCAGGAAAGATCTATCTATAAATTTATTTCACAGTAACTTGAATCTAGTATATATGTAATTTGTTTAAATTAAGTATTTCAATATAATATAAATACAGTTTATGAGATCTTGAAAAGGTAACTCTTGAAATGTCAGAAATATTTGCATGTATGCAATCTGCACAAAGATGCCAGCATAAAATTGTTTATGGAAGTTGCTTAAAACAGTAATTAAGTGTTAACCATTCATAGAAAATATGCCTTACTAATTTTGTGACACTGACTCTTGTAAACTCCACTTAGTATTGGTGCTTGATGTGAAGTGTTGGGAGTGGGCTCTTATTTAAATATTTAGAATAACTAACTCACAGAGAGGCTTTGGGGAAACTGTGAGTTTAGGGAGTAATAAATAAGAAAAAGTATTGTCAAATAGCTCATTTGTTTATTTAAATGCTATTGGCTTAATGCCAATATCACTAAGATTGTATATAGGACATTTTCAGGTCAGCTATAAATGTTATACATTTGTTTATTTTCAGATTATATTAAGAGCAATGATAAATCATCTCTTTTCAGTCTAACATATACAGATGATAACTTAAGATAAAGATGACATTAGGAAACTTCATAAACTATTATATTTGCATTTTAAGGTAGATATGCAAATTCTATAATAGTAAAATGGAAGGTAGTATGCCCTCTTTCCAGAGAAAGCTGATATTAGAATTCCTCTGATATCCTCTGATATTAGAATTCCCTTTGGGTAGGTAATAAAGCTGATGATTTCTTATAAAATATGTCAAAAATAATGAGTCATGACAGAACAAGAAAATGCAAACCTATAATTCTACTTGAGAATCTGGAAGCTCCCTTTGACAAAGCATTTTTTTCTCTCAAATTACTACAGAGATAACAAACATAACAGAAGCTTCTGAAAAAGCATAAATATAATTTACTAATTAAAGCAAGCATTTATACATCACATATTTAGAAAGTTTATCTTGGAGGAAAAGAAAGCTACTGTGCTTCCTTATAATATTCCAGCAATATCTGTCAACACATGCAAGATAAGCCATATAAAATACACATATGATTCTGCTTCAAAGGGACATAGACAGAAAATGATCTCTTTGTAAGCCACAGGTAGGCATTAATGTGTTAGGTTATGGTAAATGTAAACTTAGAGGTAAAAATAGGAATGTAATATCTACTTTATACAAACATTAAAGATGTTTTTATTATATGAAATATATCTTAAAATCTGCATGGTAAAAAAACAAGATTTTATTTTCAATATAACAAAGTTCTTAGGCTATTTTTTTAAAAAGCCTTCATAATTGAGCTGCCCTAGTACAATTTAAGATACTATTTATTTAACAGAAGAAACATGGGATAAATCAAATATAATGTTTATCTGAAGATTTTTATAAAGCAAGCAAACACTGCTAAACTGAGAATCACTTCCCAGCTTAACTTTCCCCCCTCCCCATATTGCTACATATGATTTAAAATGACTGCATCTATTTCTTTGAGAAAACAAACATAACTCATGTCATAAGATACACTTACCTAATCACTCTGGAGGTTAATGGTGGTGGTAGGGGTCACAGCCCAAAATGAACTAAAAGGTCAGCTATGTTTTAAGAAAGCAGTTCCTCTTTAATTACCCAAAGAATACATTTTTAGGCATGAATTAAAGGCAATCCATTCTTTCTACCTCCCATTTCAAAACACAGCAAAGAAGCAGTCTCCCGCCCTTCCAGAAAGAAACACAGCAGAAACACATAAGAAATTTGCTTTGGACCTGTCTTCAGAATTCAAAGCAAGAAGCAATGCTGGTCCTGTAGAAATCCAGACCCCAGTAGCAGAATCATGTTGAACTTATTTTTAGCATTTTCTTAGATCCTTCTATGAAATTTCCCGGCTGATTACGCCTCCTCCACACATGAGTTCACTTACACAGTGTTTGCTACGGCAGTAGAGGTGATTTGGCTAGGCTCGGAGGATCACAAACAGCAACAGCATGCTGTAGCTTAAAGCCCACTCCGCTGGCAATACCATCACCATCGTCCACAGTATGTTGCTTGAATCCCCTGTTACACACCGGAAAATACTAACTGTGGACGTGAAGGAAAGGAGCAACTTTAGTTGGGTTTCTGCATCAGTAAGAGCAGTTTGCAGATTGCTGATTTGGAGCTCATTCTGCCGGCAGCCGGGAATTCCTCAGCACCACGGACAGCGCCAACAACTGGCTTCTGAGCCCAGCTCTGTTGAAATCCCCGAGCTGCTTTAGACGAGGCTAGAGTGCTCTACAAGCAGTCGCACTTTATACAGCGGATGCGTGCATTAGGAGGGGTAAAGACATTCTACGTGCGAGATACTTATTTGCATTGAAATTACAATTAAATTTTTTTTTCTAAAAAATTGTAATTACACCTAACGCATTCTTGGATGGACTGCAGAGATGAAAGTTCCAGAAGAGGCTTGCATTTCGATTTAAGCCATCTGCAGTCCCCGATTATTATTAATAGATAAAGCATAATCATTGTCAAACAATCTGTAAAAACGTATGCTTGTCGATTCTATTTGACCCTTTGGTGGCAGAAAGACTTCCCCGGTGTTGCATGATTAAACTTCAGGTCTTCCTGCAGCTTGGATCTGATTAAAAAAAAAAAAAAAAAAGTAGCCAGGTTTTCCTGCAGTTTGTTCTCTAACATTAAAAATCAATCTCCTGTAATTCATCTAGTCTGTCATTAGGCGTCATTGTAAAGCTGTTTCTTTCAAAATCCCTAGCAAAGATGCCGAGTCTCTAAATTCTTATCAAAATGAGACAGAAAAAAGACCCCGACACAAATGGGTGAGCATAAAGTTTTTTTTTTATTAGTAACAGTATGCGCACTAAAATATATGTGCAAAGCATGTTTTAAAGCAGACTGTAAATGTTACCTGCTGGCACATTTAACCAGTTATTTGCTGGTTTGGGACTACAGGAAGCATTTTCAAGCCTTAAAGGGAATGCCCTCTGCAGCGGGATGTGCTGACAGTCAAGACCACGTTCGAACTGTGCCGTCAGAGCCTCCAGAAAACAGAATCTCCCCGTCGTGAGAAAACACAACCGTGTGTGCCTCGCTTTCGTGGCCCATCAATTTGTGAATCTCCCCAGATTTAAGATCTAGCAAATGGATAACACCATTGCCACTTGCCTGAGCTAAAACTCGACCTGAGGGAGACAGAGGAGAGAGAATGAATCAAAGTTTTATTTCAAGTGTTCACAGTTTATAAGCAACGAAGCATTCTATTTTTTTCAATTATTCTGTGTTAGGGGTCAGTTATTAAATATGAAGTAGCTCCTGTAGGTATAAGAAATAAGTTGAGTCAAAATTAAGACACATCAATAATTAGATTACAAAATTTTCAAATTGGGACATAGAGCCTAATTGTCTACATCCTTTATATGCAGATTTCATCAAATGTCCTACTATTCTTTTATATTTGTGATTAATAAAGCATTTTGAGGAGATGAGATTGAAAGCAACTATGCAGGGCAACTTTCTTTTTCAAATTATATGTTAAAAAGTTTTAAAGGACATAACTTTCAAAATTTATGGAAAAACATCTATGTATGGATAATTTGTATTTTAAAATTTGTATTCTTCTTTAAACTTATTTATAATAATTATGTTAATCATTACTTACAACTCAATATACATTCCTGCTTTAAAAATTGTGATACTCATGCACTCAACAAATTTTTTTTTTGAAGCTGAAGTGGAAATAAATATTTCCATTTCAAAATGACTTGGGAGTTTTTACTTTAGCTTAGAATTCAACTTTTGATAAATTTTTGTTACATAAGATGGCTAAATACAGCACAGGGTATTTGCATAATTTTTGTACCATATATTTTTAGTGGCTTATTTCCTCAGAGTGAAAACAAATCAGGGATCCAATTTTCATTAATATTTTTATTAAGGAAGTCCAGTAACTCTCATGGGACTTGGAGGTAAGTAAAACAACAGGCTATGTTTACATAAGCTCAGTACTTAGTGTAAATAAGTATGACATTACTACTATCCATGGGATTATTTAATCATACTTAGAAGGCATATTATTGTTCCAGTAATAACATTTAAAATTTATCAAACTCTTTTAATGTGATAGATACCATATTTAGTGCTTGATATGGATAATTCTGTATGATCCTTACAATAATCTAATGATAAAGAAAATAGTATTAACTCCTCTATGTAGGTGAAGAAATAGAGGCTTGGAAAAGTGAAGTAACTTGCTCACAATGACACCCTAGGTATAGGAGGAGCTAGCATTTAATCACAGCACTTTGAGTCCAGAGCCTGGGCTTTTAGCCATTATGTTTTCCACAGCCAGCATAGCATTGTTATCAATGATGCCGCCTTGACAGATTTTAGGTAAGTGATATATTGTGAAAACAGCATTGGTCCATTTTATAATAAGAATTCTAGAATGATATCACCATAAAAGCTACAGTGAAGTATTTAATCACAAATCTTACCCCCAATCATCATGAATACTTCTAAAACAGAGAAAAGTTATAAAAGTAAAGCTAACCATGATAAATACAGCCTATTTGCAAACCTTTATAACTACTGGGCTTCTTCATATAGAACAAAGCCTGACACAGCAAAGATCCTTAGGATGGATTAGAGTGTCCAAAGCAGCAGATGTGAATATTTATTATAAACCCTTTTCTACTAAGTCTTTGCTGACAGAGGCATTACATATGGATTTCACTTCCAACCTCACTCTATAGGCAATTGCTGTTTGTGACTTTCCCAAGAATCAAACAAATAACTTTTTTTTTCTTGTAGTCTTTACACAACAGCTGAAAAGGGGGGTAAATATTCTTTTTTATTTCTGAAATCAAACAAAACCAGACAGAACCAGGTCCATAAAGAAAAAGAAAAATATTTAGCTTTAAATCATTATTCAAATCTGTAAAAATAATAATTGGAAATATTTATAAAGACTCTAATAATTTCTGAAAGTTTGTTTAATAAAATACAGAAAATGATAATATTGGAACCTAATATTAATTCAATAGCACCATGCCTCAGGTGTTTCAATAATTTGTTTTTTCAAGAACAGATTTGGGTCAGCACATTTATTATGAGGTTTTTCAGGTTCTCCTGAACTCATTTTCAGAAGACTGCAAGGCTGAGCATGTATCGTAACTAATTCCTAAAATGAATATAAATTTATAATCATGTTCAACTTCATTTAAAGTATATTGGATTATTACACGGCATATAAGGTGTGACTTAAAAATTAGTTTTGCTGGGAACGGGGATGCTAACCTCTTTCGAAGTTAGAAAATGTTCAAAATTATTTACCAGGGCATGTTAATTGCTACATTAGTACTTTAGTATCCAGTTGGTGTGAGAGAGAAGAGGTACTCTCAGAAACAAAATAAAAAATGCCACAGCCTCATTACTGGTAGCATCTCCACAAAGTGTAGCATTTATAGAGAAGTGTTTATGGAGAAGTGCATGGGTATCTTTTTCAATCTCCTGGTGATTGGCAATGAAAAACAAACCACACTGCAAATCACTTGTCATCTGAATGTCAGGGTCTTAATGATAAATTTAGGGAGAATAAAAGATTTAACTATATCAGAACTTGGTCAATGGAATGAAAATATGGTAGAAATACAATTTTAAATAGTGTCATGAGAATTTATGTGAAACCTGAACTAATAATGTTCATGTTAAAGTAAATATATTTCTTAAAAATGTGAAATTAAATAATGTATTTTTACTTTAAATCTTTTATAAACATATTAAAAGCAAAATATTGTCTTGTAACATGTAATTTCTGAACAGATTATTACAATGTTATTTAGCATAGTTTTTTAACAAGAATAATTGTAACGATTTATGAATACACACTTTACATAAAAATCACATGAATTTGTGATTAAAAACAGTATAGGTTAAAAATAAAAATGGTCAAAATGGATTTATAAAGATATTTTAAAATAAAGATAAATGTTTAAACATCTGTTATGTAAAAAATGCTTTGCTTTTTTTCTTTTGTTAACGTTCAAATTATAAGGATGTCCACACTTTTCACAGAATGGAAAGAAAATAAACAGTCTAGGGAGAAGATTGATTTAATTTTGTAACTGCTATTATTTATATAAATAACTCAGTATATATCAACATTGAGTGATTATGACTCCTTCATATGTCTTAAAAAATGTAATCAATACTTATTTTTATCTACCAAGACTTTAGAATATTTTCATGTTTAGTAAATGAATACCTTTTCTGTTGACCAATAGGACTCAATGAGGAACATATGGTGCTGTCTATTTTACTTTAAAGGATGAATTTTCCAACTCCTTTTGGCTTTGAAGACAAGAATTAAGTTTCTCCTAACCTCAAAGTATTGCTCTGCTATTAAATGATCCAATCAAATTCTATAAATTGGAGGGTCTCTCAAAGTTAGTTCCAAATAAATTTTTAACTTTCTTAACACAACATAGTTCCTTTATATGCCATATTTATTTTAAGAAATAGTTTCACTAATATCTTAGGCATAACAATTTCAGTTGAATTTGGTATAAAAACTTGAGTATTTGAATATACTTATTAATTTAAGCATTAGTAACAATAGAATCCCCTGAAGAAGTTTATAGAATGAATTAATCCATACAAATTGAGTGGTAAAATTTTATCTGGGTGTAAAATTCACTTTATATAAACTAGCATAATTTGGAAACTCTTACTCTCATGCTAATAAAATGTGTAGTATTGACACTTTTTCTAGCTACAATTTATAAAACTTTTCAGTTTTCATTAATTTTTATTAAATTTTTAATTAATTTTAGAAATACATGTGAGAAGTCAATTTGATTTTGACAGTGTACACCTAGAAAAACCAGGAGTTATCTTAAACCTTTCAATACTTACTTTCCTTCTCATGTAGCCAAATTCTCCTTAAGGTTGAGATACATGCTGCTTATTATTGCAATTTTTTAATAATCATGGAACTTGACCTATCAGTACTTAATACGTGCTTGTTGTACAAAGAGTCAGTGTGTTACAAGTAGGAGCACAAACATCTTTATGACATTTTTAAATAGAAAAGTTTGAGCCCATTTCTTTGTCATCCAGGATTACTGGAATTAGTTGATGGTAGCCCTCATTTATTGAATGTCTAGAACTTTCTCTTTTACATCACATGTTCTTCACTCAACTCTGTGATGTAGCTATTCTTTCCTCCTAGAAAATGAAGGAGACTCACAGAAGGTTGAATTGGGATTTATTTATTTTATTTTATTTTATTTTTTGAGATGGCATTTCATCCTTGTTGCCTAGGCTTGAGTGCAGTGGTGCAATCTCAGCTCACTGCAACCTCTGCCTCCTGGGTTTAAGTGATTCTCCTGCCTCAGCCTCCTGAGTAGCTGGGACTATAGATGCCTGCCACCATGACCAGCTAATTTTTTTGTATTTTTAGTAGAGACAGGGTTTCACCATGTTGGCCATGCTGGTCTCGAACTCCTGACCTCAGGTAATCCACCCACCTCAGCCTCCCAAAGTGTTGGGATTCCAGGCATGAGCTACCACGCCCGGCCTTGAATTGGGATTTGAATTGAAAACTTTATTACTCAAAAAGTCTTGCTTCATTTACTGGCTTTAGAAATTCTTACATAAATTAAGATTTAGGGCCAACTGGGTTTATGCCAGTAATCCCAAGCTTTGAGAGGCCAAGGCTGGAGGATCATTTGAGGCCAAAAGTTTGAGACCAGCTTGGGCAACATAGACTCCAACTCCACAAAAAATTTGAAAGAAAATTATTCAGGCATGGTGGCATGCATCTCTAGTCCTAGTTACCGTGGAGGCTGAAGCAGTAGGATTGCTGGAGCCCAGAAGTTCAAGACTGCAGTGAGCTATTCCCACCATTACACTCCATTCTGGGTGGTACAGCAAGTCTCTGTCTCTAAAATGATAATAAAAAATAAGCAAAAAAGACTCAGATAAGTGTCACACTTTGGGGCTTCTTTATGAATATCACTGAATTCTCTAGTTGCATAAGCTCTTAACTTTAATGCTCATGTTAATCTTATAATTGTTTTATGTAATGTTGTTTGTACTCCTTTGTGAAACTCTGAAATGAAAACATTCATGTTCTTGCAAAAGTCACTGTTCATATATATCCATTAGTCTCTAAATACATACA